CATAGGACAGGTTATAGATTTATGTGCAATTTCTAGACAGCAGCTCTAACTTCATTCTTTGTTTGAAAACTCTTCCATGGCACATCTTTGTGCCTTAGACACCACAGTGTCATTTAAAGAAATAATAAAATAAGCAGAACTCTGGCAATTACCAACACTAGAGAACAAGTAGAACAAGATGAATCAGCAGAGGGACCTGAGTAGGAACTGTCAGGGGAGGAGGAGAACCAGGAGACAGTGGCCTCACAGAAGCCAATGGAATTGAGTTTTAAGAACAGGGTAGATAACTGTCAAATTAACTGTGAGGTCAAGAAAACGAAATGGAAGCTATGTGTTTTTGTTTTAATCAAGAAGTCACCGGTGATTTTTGTCAGAGCAGTTTCATGAAACTGTTGTGATGGGAACCTCACGGCAGTGCGTTGAAGAGCAATGGGTAACCAGTAATCGGGAAACAGGTGCAATGATCCTAGGATGTTCTGAATAGGGGTGGTGCTGTGGATGGAGGAAAGTTGGGAGGAGAAATTATTTTAAGGTGAGAAAGGCTTGGTTTGTTGTTGATCTCTGTAGAAGGACCCAATAAAGAGCAAGAGGATGAAAAGAGAGAGAGAGAGATGTGTGCATGTGTGTGTGCATGTGTGTGTGTGGGGGGTATGAAGTTTTAAAGAACATGAAGAGCACATATGAGAAGTGTGAGAAAATAATCTTAAGAGAAAAAGCACTTCTTTCTTTAGGAGGAAAATAGATGAATGTGTGAATAATATGTTAAAGTGGAAACTTGAGAGAATTTGCATCTGACAGTGCTGGCCTCTGAAGTATAGACATGATCATATATTGAAAGGAGGCGGTATCAAAAATTTTACTTTGGACCAGCTAATAGCAAAGACAGACATGATAGGAACATACAAATAAATAAATGAAGGCAGGTGCTATGAAGAAAAATAGGAGTACATACTTTGAAATAGAATAACAGGTTGCATAATTCAGATTTAGGGTTAGGGAAGGCTTTCAATCCAATTGGTACCTAAAAAATAAGTAGGAATTAGGCAAAAATGAGAAGGGGAGCACACCACATCAATAGAAAGCATGTGACACTTGATTGTTAACAGCTATTTTTACTGGCATTCACTTCTATACTAGGAGGATTGGGACAAAGTCTTGTTTCTGCACCTACAGAATCTGGAATCATTATGTTTGATGAAAAGGAAATACAAGTCTTAACCTCACTGTTAAACACATGCCAATAGCTCCATTTTGTATGGAGACTGGAGCTCAGAAGGTCTCTTCTCCAATGTCTCAGTACTAGGCGGTGTTAGGATTCAACACCCATGTCTGTCTGATGGCACAGCTGTGCTTGATCCTGTTTCCTAGGCTGCCTCACAAAGTCCCTTGTTCTAGGAAACTTATTTCAATGGCTGCTGTGACAAAATACCATAGACTGGTGACATAAATAACAAAATCTATTCCTCACAGGGCTGGAGTCTAGTAGATGTGTAAGATCAGGCTGCTAGGAGGACTCCGACTGGCTTGCAGACTGGATCCTCACATGGCAGATACAGGGAGGAGAAGCAAGCTCTCTCATAATTCCTATAAGGACACTAATCCCATTCTTGGGGGCCTCACACTTATGACCTCATCTAATCCTAACGATCTCCCAAAGACCCACCTGCTAATACTATCACATTGGTGGGTAGGGTTTCAACATATGAATTTTGGGAGGATACAAACATTTAGCCCATAACAGATAATTCCTTCCCTTTCTCTCCACCTTTATTTTTGGTCACCTTTCTTTGTTTCCAGTTTAAAAACTGGTGTCACTGAGACCTCTGTCTATAAATTTATCCTTTTCACCCATTTACTCCTTCAATGACATCTATGCCCAAAGCTTTAATCATCACATCTAGACTTCTGACTCCTACCTTTACGTCTTCAGCTCTGAGCCAGATTTCAATCTCATTTTTCTAAATGTTTTCAGGAAAATCTATATACATGATCTGAAATCACCCCAAATTCTGTGTGTTCCGAATTAAACTTGACAGCTTTTCATATGCCCAAATGGCACTCTAATTTCTTGTCAGTTTAAACATCTTGAAACCATTTTTGTTTCTTCCTTTAAAAAAACACACAAAAAAAACAACAAACCTGTCATAAAGTTTCCCAGTGAAATATTTCTTCTTTCTTTATACACGAGTTCAGGCTGAAGGAATTACATGCTGCAGCAGCTCGCTGCTCTCTGTGCTCTAGAGTTGTCATTACCAAGTACAAAATTCTTCAGCTTTCATGGCAATTCATCATGTTGGTGCCTTCCTTGCACTTGTTTTTATATTTTCTTGCCACACAGTCTTTCATAAAAATTGGGTCCTCATGTCAAGAGCTTACATAAAATCTATTTTAATACATTTCCTATACAGTCTATGTAGATAGTATTCTTTGTCCATTATTATTCCATGCCCTTGCTGAATAATGATAGAGTAATTACCTGTGGGTAAAGCATACTTCCTCATCCCTTTGACTATAAGCTTGGCCACCTGACATATTGTGTCCAATAAAATATGGGGCAAAATTCAGTGGACTGGTGCTGAGTGGACTTGAAGAGGCATTGAGTGTTCCTGTTCATTATCTTGTGCTCCTGACCTGCATCATGAGAAAGGCAATGTCCTAGGAAGTTGTTTCTTTAGCCAAGCTCCCGGGATGAGGAACTATTGGAGCAGACTTGAACTGGACCTCCAGAAGCAGATCTGCTCCAGAAAATCCAAGATACATGAGCAAGATAGACATGTTTGCTGCTTGTGATCTACTGAGACTTGATTGTTAAGGATGATCAACATGGAAATAGCTGACTAATATATAACCATTCTGGAAATCAAATCTATAATAATAAGCCCAATCGTGACTTTGAAGCTTGGTTTCTTCCTAGCAATTGAGCTTTGGGTTAAATGATTTGAACAAGTGTTTGATCATAGTTATAAAGTCTTTGTTTTATGTATTGGAAAAGCTGGAAATGTTTAGTGAAATATCAAAATTATTTCAGGCTTGTTTTTGGATGTATATATTACAATTCTTATTAGAATTTAAATTAGTATAAATACACTTAGAACTAAGATATTTAATAGTATAAATTAAATAAAAATTAATAGAAATTAATTTGCTATACATGAAGTCTTTTCTAAAAAGTCTTTCTGAAAAGACTTTTATAAATAGGCTTTTTGGAGACTCATCTTGAGATATATAGAAATTCCTTACTCACTCTGAAGATTGGTTCTTTAGTATCGACATTTTGTTTATTTTATTTTTAATTGAATTTATTGGGGTGACATGGGTTAATAAAAACATACAGGTTTCAAGTGTACAGCTCAATGAAGGATCATCTAAAGGGGGCAAGGTTTTCTTTTTTTGGGGAAAAAGTAAAAACTCTTTCTGCACCCATTTTAGAGACACAAACGCCTGGCCAATATGGCCGTGCCAAAGCCGCTGTTTCTACTACATTAGGGAAGAGCACTTCAGCGTCAAAACGCAACATTAATTCAAACAGCTCCGAAGCAAACAGCGCAAGCATGCTCAGCATTGTGGATGA